AGAAAAGGTGACTGCATGGCATTTACACTCTGTCATCTGTAGCAGAGCATTTAAATTTCCTGAGTTCCCTTGTCAGGTTCTGATGCCCTCAGATAGTCCGCTTTCCAGGAACAGTTCCATAGATTTCTGGCTCGGGTCCCATCCTCTGGTTAATGAATTTGGGGCTCTTGGGCTGTCCTTAGAGAGAACACAGGGCTTAGGCATGGAAGTCTTCCTTTTCTCTCTACTTACCAGCACTTTCTGAGTACTTGCCCTGTGGTGGTCACTGTGACAGGCATTGGGTAGGGGTGGTGATGAAATGATTAAGACACAGCCCCCGCCTTCTTTGAGAAGCCCAGTGGCCAGAGCAGAGACAGGTGGGCAAACAGTAATTGCAGCCTGAAGAAAGAGCTGGGGAGCCCGGGAGGAGCAAGTCTCTCCATAGAGAAGGAGGTACCCTGGCCGTCTCTGATAGACTATCCTGAGCAAGTTATTTCTCCATCTCACTGTGACCCTTCCCACTGCAACTAAACACTGTTTGTTTGTTTGTTTTCCTCACTGGGCTCAAACTAAACAAATGAAAAAACAAACAAAACTACCTTTAGTTCTTTTCTACCTGAACCCTTTCACCATCATTGTTCTTCCTGAATCCTGGCCAAGTGGTAACAACGTGATGTTCTAGTTGTTTAATTTTCATAGCAAAGTAGAAACTGGCCCTTTCCTCTGCCCCTCCTCACCATCCCCTGCCAAGTGAATCTGCATGCAGACATCTGGGATGTGGGCTCTCTGCTACAGACCTCTACAGCCCCCGCTCTTGGCACTGTAGGTAAATGGTTTGCTGAATTACAGTATTTTCTATATTGCTGAAGAAGATCCCGGTTTTGGAGTTTAAACACTGGGGTGAGGTGAGTCTCCCTTCTCTTACCATGGCAGCCCATCTCACACATTCCTTAGGATAGCAAGTGCCACTTCATGTCTATTGTAAATTCTGGGCGGGGCTGCCTTATTTGAGGCTCAGAGGGACAAGATACTTCACTAGCAGCACACATTGTCCAGTACAGAAATAATCAGCACAGGTCTGAAAGGGGACCTGTGTTGGTCCATCAGTTCTGATTGTGTGTGGGTGAGTGAGAGACCAAACACAGTTCTGTCTCACACTGTAAGCCTGAGAAATTCTGAGAGGCAGAGAGTGCTTGGCATTTACTCTGAAGCCCACATCTCTCGGTTGCCAGTCAGCAGAGAAGTTGCATGTTGATTTCATGTATTCACTTCTCTTCCTACCCTCTGGGAATTCTGTACTTGCTTCACTTTTTTTGTCATTTAAAAACAAGGAAGAAAGGGAAAGAAAAGGCAGCTCTGCCTTGTGCACATGCTCAGAGATCCTCAAGGGCAGTCTGTACCTGCCAGCTCTCCTGAGCATGGTGAGTGGTTGATGATCAGGAGGGAGCATGAAAGATGGTATGTTAGCTCACCTTTTCTCTCTGGAGGCTCCTTCTGCGCCCAAAATCTAAGAAACAGGTAAACCACGGCATCTGGTATTCTTGTCTCCCCTCTGCCCTGTTGCCAGGCCCAGCTTCCTAGAGCACCAATTTTGTCATGTGCCCCCACTGCTTGGGAAGCTCCCAGGTAAAGTCCAGACTTTTCATGTGTCATGCAACACCTTGCACAGTAGCTCACTTTGACTCTCAGGCACATTCTTCTGCTTCAGTCAGGCCTGAGTTCTCATGACCCCCGAATGCACCATACCACTCTTTTCTAGATAATGCCCTCCCTCCTCCTGGCTTCTCATCCACATCCACTCCAGAGATCCCTTCTCCAGGGAGAGGGCAGAAGGCACAGCTCTTTGGTGGTCCTACCTGGGTACATGCTTGCTATCTCACTCTGATTTGGGATTCTGTAGGTACTTACTTGGAGTGGGGGTAGAGGCTGGTCTCTTTGGCTATCTTATAAGCTCCTTGAGGCCCACGGCCATATCTCACACATCTCTCTATTTTCCAGGGCTCTTGCTTAGTGTCTTGCCTTGATGAACAATCTATTATGAATGCATGGTTTGTTCATGGTGGGAGGGAGGAGGACAGATGTCATCTGCCTTCCTACATACAGCTCCTTTCCCAGCATTGTCCAGGCCGTCTCTTTTCATGGGTGAGCTTCCCGGCTTACAGACTACATTCTCCCTTCACCGTCTTCCTTTTTCTAACCCTCTGTGAGATAACTCAGGGCCAACTCCTTGGGGACTCACCTAGGCTGATCATCAGGCCAGCAGTACCACCCTGACCACATCTCTCTCTTTCGTCCCTTCCATAGGGTCATTTTGTCTAATGACCTCTCACCAGGACATGTGATTTCAGGTTCTCTGTGTGCTTTTAGATATTGTCTGTTAGACTGGAAGATTCCCAAGTGCAGGAAGTAGGTTTAGAGCCCAAGAGAGTAAAGAACATGGGCTTTGGAATCACACATTTCCTTAACAGTGAAATGGACTAATAACCATAACCATCAGATAGGGTTATCATGAGGATTTGGTGAGTGCCTGGTGCCTGGAGTACAATGAGGACTTAAAAATCTGAGTTGCTCTTATTACTCTGATAATGATTCTACTAGGTACCCTGATGGGACCTCAGTGAAACTTTGTTAATGGATTGGAGCGAGACTTCAGTGCCTTTTTGACAAATGGGACCAGGAGGAAGCAGAACTGTTAAACTGGGCAGCCTTCTCTTCTCTCTTATCTGCCTGTTGTCCTTCACTCCCTGCACCTTCCCTCCCCTCCGCCTCCTAGGACCTCAGTTGCTGAGAAAATAGTTACTGGCACAAACTCATTTATAAGCAGAAATGAAGGCAGAATGACAATGGGGAGGCTATTTTCACTGAACAAGGTGTGAGTTGGGGAGAAGAGAAAAAAAAAAAAAGACAGAGGGGGCCAACTTGGGAAGGCCCTTGTCGATACCATGTCCCCACCTGAGACTGGTAGTAACAGCCCCTGATATTTGTTTAGCGCTTACAGCCCTGGGACTCTTCGCATATGTCTTCCTTCCCTCGGCCACAGCCAGTTGTGGTAGCTCTCTTTCACTTGGCCTTGGTGCTGGGGACGCAGAGCTGAGTAGGACTTGGCCCCGCCTTCCTCCAGTGCTCTCGCTCTCTCTTGCTGATGGCAGAAAAGAGAAGTGGGCTCCTTTCCCAAGTTTTCTAGTCTTCTTTGCCAACTGTGGTAGCCCAGGTCGGTAGTGCAGACTTCTGCACAAGCCCAGGGGACGCTGCCCCATGCGCAGTGTTTTACCGTAGGATAAAGGCTCCTTCTGGATGTTACCAAGCCCCCTAGCCAGAGCCTTCTTCCTGCATTTTCCCTGACCAACTCCTGTGCACTCTTCACGAGAGAGGACTCAGCCTGCGCCCATGAGCACTCATACATCACCCTCGGCATAGGCAGGACCCCACCTCGGCCACCTGCTCTTCTCAGCCGGGCCTGGGTCCCAGCCCCCGCGTCATCCCACCTGGGAATGCGGGGCGGGGGAGGGGACTCGTGCAGCTGCAGGAGCCTCGTGGAGCCGCGCGCGCGTGCGCGCGTGTGTGTCTGTGTGTCTATGTGTGTGTGTGCGCGCGCGCGCGCAGAGGGGGCGGGGTGGGCGGTGCGCGCCCCGCGGAGGCCCCTAGCGTCTTTCCCACACCTCACGCCGCTCCTGCCATCCCTTCTCCCTGTGAGTGGTAGCCGGACCCACGTGTGCAAAAGCGTGGCGTGTGTGTGTGTGCGCGCGCGCGTGTGTGTATGTAGCGGGAAGATCGTGTGCCTAGGGTTGGACAGGCCCCAGTGTGCACAGGGGGCAGCGGCCAGGGCAATGGCCGCGCTTCTTTCCCCCTCTGTCCTCCCCAGCCCTTTCCTCCGGTTTCCTTGGGTCGTTAGTACCTCCAGCCATTCTCCTCCTGTGCCGCCCCCTTTTCTAGAGTAGAAGAGACCAGAGCCTTCCATGGAGGTTCTGGTTCACCCCCAGCTCCAGAGCCCTTGACATTTAACGAGGGTTCGTGGCGCACGGGTGTAGGCACATAGCAGAACGCTAATCCTATTAAAGATATGGTGTCATTGGGGAAGGGGAGACTGCCCCCCCACCCGCTGTCAGGCCTCTCGCTCATTGGTAGAATGCAAAGCAGGGGGCGGGGCCGAGGGCCCGGTGAAGGGGCTCCGGGCGATTTCGGAGTCAGGAGTCGGGGCTGGGATTTCGCAGGGAAAACCCAGCGGTGGCAGCTGCGGCAGATCTGCCGGCGCTGTCCGGCGCGCGCCCGGCTAGCCCAGGGCTGGCGAGCAGCTCGGCAAAGTCGCGGAGCGAAAGGAGGCGGAGCGCCTGCAAAGTGGTCGGGTTCAGCGCCGGGGCTGGGCTGGGCGAGGTGTGCCCAGGGAACCTGGATCCCGGGGCCCTTGTGCCTTGCGTTGAGCGGCCAGTGCAGCGGGAGAGCTGACGCTCAGGAAAGAGAAATCAAATTGCAGCCTCCCCAAAGACGCTAAGTTACGCAGGCCAGCCAGTTCCCGGAGAGCGTTCGCGAGCGCCCGGAGACCCGAGCCGCAGAGCCTTCCCGGGCCAGCGGGCCGGGAGCGGGGCGCTTTCCAAGAGTCAGAGGCCCCTGTGCACGGGGTTTGACCCGGAGTGCGACACGGTACTGAGAGGGGGCGTGCAAGGCTCCGCCGGGCCGCCTGCAGCCGGTGCCCGACTCGGGCGCCCCCTCAGTCCCACTCTGGGAGCGATGCCCCCCGCCCCTCAGGCCCCCCGGGAACGCCGCGAGCATGGAGAAGTCGAGTAGCGAGGATTCTTCGATCCACCGGAGTCCATCTTTGGACAGCAAGGACTCGGACTTTGCCAAGCCGTCCACCTCTGGCCGCCCGTTCGGTAGCGGCTTCACGGCCGGCGCCTTCTACGGCACCGCAGGCTCCCGGGGCCAGAGCCGTGCGGAGGCTGGCATCAAGACTGACAAGTACAATGCCCCCAAGGGCAGCAAATACGTGGTGTTTTACCTGGACCTGTCCTTTGTTTTCCTCCTAGAATTTAAGAAGTGCAACATGGCCAGGGGCTGCCTCTGCTGCTTGAAGTACATGATGTTCCTCTTCAATTTGATATTCTGGGTAAGTCTGTGCGCTCATCCCTCCGTTTTCCTCCTCTCCTCTTCTTTGCTTACCACAGTGTGATACTCTCTTCCTCGTCAGTGCTGCATTGCTCTACTCTCTGCACAACGATAAGCAGGTTTTTAAAAATTGTTTCCCCGCCTTGTTCACGTATCTGCTTTTTCCTTTCTCTCTCCTTTGTGGCTGAATGGAGGCTCCAACTTGCCTGTCTTCCAGGAGAGACTTACCCTACTAGGAGGCTGGCAAAGTTTGCAGCCACCTCTTTCTCCTATGAGAAACCCATTCTGGAAGTGTCTCCAACTAGATAACCTGCAGCAATAGGTGTGGGTCAGAATTTTTAACAGCTGTGACCCTGAGTTGAAGACAGGCACAAGTGTGGATGGTCTTCTGAGTTTCTTCTTGTATTCCTCCTAAATAGATAAGAATACCATCTGCAGCATTTTATGTGCATGAGATAGGGGAGTGCTAGAGGTCAGTGAACCCCAGAAAAATGAGGACTAGCCCCTGTCCCAAGCCAAGGGACTTGCTTACTAGCCTGCAGATATGCCCCTGAGTTAGGGTTTGTGTGGAAAAGGAGGCATGGGAGGGATGCTGCCATTGGGTGGCGGGCAGCTGCTTTTGAGGGATTGCAGTGGGACTGGGGAGGGGGAGCAGGCTGGCCATGTGCTCCTGCCATGGAAAGCCAGCAATCCTGGCTCTGGGAGCCCCAGAGACTGGAAGAGACAAAGAGGACAATCAGGAGTGGCCCCATCCTTTGGTGAGAGATTGTTTTCTAGAGAAGGTGTCGGTGGGTGGGGCAGCTTGGAATTGTTCTCCACCCTCTGTGACTCTGGAGGCTGTGTGTACGCAGCGCACATACTTGTGCATAGGAAATCCTAGTTAGGCAAATTTGAAAACTTCTTAACTTCATATCTAATTGTTCCTTCATCCCAATTGCTGCCCCAGCTTTCTTCACCAGAGCCCAGATGCAGTCAGCGCAGATGTTTGGCTCTGCCCCAGGGCCTGTCCTCCTGCCGGCTGGAGGCTGTCAGCTGCTGGTGGTCCAGGAAGAGCACTGGGGGCAGGAGAAAGTCATTCACAGTGAAATGGGTAGAAGCAGTTGTGCTTTGGTGTTCAACACCTGGGGGAAGTGACCGGCTTTAATTGAAAAACTTTTTTGGGTGTATTGGGGGTGTATGACTTTTCCCACAGAGTGGAAAATTCAGGCTGGACGGGAAGAAGACTGTGTTCTAGTCTTGGTTCTGCATTAACTTCTTTTGTGACCTTGTCCAAATTGTGTTATCCCTTAAGGACTGGGTGTCCTTTCCAGCCCAATGGGAAGCTGTCACGATGGTCTCCCTCATGTCCTCACCTCATTAGGTATGGGACATCCTGCATCCTTGCCTTCTCTCTAGGGAAGGACCCCCCCTTCCCTGCCTTGGGCATGGGCTGCTGTTTTTCTTCTGAGGAGTCTGCTCTGAGATTGTCTGAGTTATATTTCTCTGGATGTCTCCATGATCTGGGGCCTTCCAGTCACCGCTGTTACAGTGTTCCCTGTTCTGTGGCAAAGGTTTTATGGAAACTGGGGCAGAGCCATTGGAATGTCAGGAATGATTTCGTGGCCACCTTTGAGCAAGTGCTTCTGGTCCTCTGACTCACTTGCTAGCGTCAGTGTCAGCCAAACACTGGTGTGTATTTCTCCGGTGCCTACAGATTTACATGAACGTTGCCCTTTCATTGTGCACAGCTTCCTTCTCTGTCCTTGTTCATAGTCTCAACCTATCTTTCATGCCTTGCCCCATTCTGCATATCTTAACACTTACTAGAAAGACCTTCCTGGTAATGCTCACTCAGTGCCTTGGCCAGTACCTCTCACTCAGCCATGCTTTTCCCCCCGCCCCCGCCCCGCCACCTGCTGGCTGGAGTGGGTATAACTGCTGCGGCTCCTTTCCAAGGATGGTCTCAACTTGGTCTAGGGACCTCCTTTCATGGTAGCACAATAGTCTGTGCCCCGCACTTAGTAGGCACTCATTATATGTTTGTGAGTGAATGAATGGAGGGCCAGAGTAGTAAATCCACATGTTATTGTGTTGCAGGGATTCCCAAGTCTCACGTGGTAGGGACTTGCCCGTGACAAAGGCTCTCCTAGCAACTTAGCTCTGGGGTGACAAGCATCTCTTTCTATCTTCCTGTAAAAGCTTAGCAGAGGTTAATGAACTGATTGATGGAGTGGCCTTCCTTTATGGTCTATAGTGAGAGGACTTGTCTCTTCCTAATTAGAAGGTACTTACCATTACTCTTTTACCAGGCAAGGAGTTGCTCTCTCCTAGTCTCTGACTTTCCTGATTACTTAATATTTTCAGAATTCCCATGACATGCTACAAGCTGGGAAGAATTAATTCTCAAAGTTCTTTTATGCTAGTAGTGTATGAGATGATGAAACAAGACATATTTAGGAAAGATGAAAAATTTAGCAAAAGAGAAATGGATGCCTGTATGTGTAAGTATATTTTTGGAGCTGGAAGAATAGGTGTAGCAGGATGTTAGCCAGGATTTGGGCCCGGTGGATCACTGAGCTCCACTCAAACGAAGACTTCATGTGGTCAGATACTTGGGCCTGATATGAGAGAAGGAACGGAGGAAAGGGCCAAATGAGAAGAGAAAGTGCTTGGGCCAAAGGCAGATGGGGCAAGACCCCTAGAAGACCTCTGCTGTTTCCAGTGCTCAGAGGGAGGGGAAGACTGGAGGTAAGTGAGAGGGTGGGGCGAGGAGAACTACAGGACTGGTCAGAGCTGAGTCCTCCAGGACCCGAGCATTGTCAGGAATTACATAGCTGTTGCTTTTTCTAGTTTCATGGCTCAGATCCCAAAAGGAGGCTTTTCTGAGGCATTGGAGTTGAACCTGAGGCCTGCAATCAATAGAGATCTTCCTTAGATCCCAGGGCCTCCTGGTAGGTCTCCAGACCCACTGCTGCCACCATACCCCTTGCCTTCTCAGAGCTTGCTAGAAGGGTTCCTGGTGCAGCTATCTTACTCTGCACCCTCTCACAAGCATGAGAGTCCCTGGTTCAGCTGGGACTTTCTCCTCCCTACCTTCTTCCTCCCCACCCCCTCTTGATTGACACCAATGCTGGCTCTGACATGATTTAAAAATAGATATTAAGACTAGGAAGTTTAATTTTTAATGCTTTGGAAAGGAAGTGAACACAGAGCCGGCAGTCCTGCATGGCCACATTCTGGGGTCTCAGAGCATCAGCCAGGCCTTCATCTGGCCCCTTTCCCCCAAGCAGAGCCATGCCTGACCCACCCCAAAGATTGGTTTGCAGCAACCCTCTCGGGGGACAGCCTGATGGCTCATACCTGAGCACTTGGGGGAGCCGCTGAATGTCTCTTGCTGCCCAGTTTAGCCTGGATCTCCTGTTTGAAGAGTCCAGGTCTGAACCTGCCTTGTTCAGCCCCTCAGTCCACTCACCACTTCCATTCTCAGATAAAAAGTACCCCGCAGACTTCTTATGACACCCTAAGCCATCCAGCACTGACTGTACACAGACCCTTGTCTTGGGCACCACAGACCAACAGGGAGCCACACAGCTCACAGAGGCACTCACGGTGTGGCCAAGCCAGTACCAAACAAACACCTCAAATGTGGCTGGAGAGTCTTAACCAAGCGCCTGCCCCCCGGAGGGCAAGAGAACGGTCTGAGAGGGGCTGAGTCACAAAGGCCTGACCCCACTTAGGGGAGGTTAATTGGGGCCTCCACCCGGCACCCTGACCATGGCAGCCCTGTGCCAACCTTTCCCCTGCTCCAGCAGGCACACTTAGCACTATCTCCTTAGCTAATTAGCTTTTATTAAGGGAGCAATTCACAAGGAATAGCCTTTCCTCTGGGGCCAGAATGTCACTGCTCTGCCAGCCATGACTTAAAGTGATGGGACAGCTCTGCTGGCAAGCTTGAAAAGCGACCACTATCCTGAGTGGCAATTATGCTAGCAATTCCAGTCCCACCCCTACCCTCCACATCAGACAGGAACTCGATTTAGGTTTGGAGGAACTAGGCTGAAATCTAATTTGCTATCCTGAGAAGGGGACGTGGCTCCCAGCACTCAGAACCCATGCTATAGTCTCTCTCCCCTACTCAGAGTGAGAAGCTCTGAGCCCACTCTGCCCTCTTGGAGGGGCTCAGATTCACTTAATTTCTAGCTAGAGTATTCCACCAGATGGCCCTGGGAAGACTCAGAGATAGAGTCTGAGGAAAGGGCCACAGGTCTGTCCTCCATCCCACCAGGCAATGACAAGCACAGAAAATGCCACAGACCTCCTCTGAGGATGGCGTGTGTGTGGGGGGCTCACCCTTCCTCCCTTGTACCTCCATGTGCCTAGCTGCCCTTGGCTGAACTTGGCGGCGGGCTCTGGGGCTTACAGGGCTGTTGGGGTCCCAGTTGAGTCCGTTCACTCATGCCACAACTATTTATTGAATGCCCGCTGCGTGCACAGGAGGCTCCAGTTGGTGAGGATGGGCTGACTGGGCTTGCACAGGGCAGATCAGCTTTCTTGGGCCAGGAAGTCGTGGAATCGAGAGGTCATCTGGCTTGTCCTCCAGCAAGCATTTGAACGCAGGGCTGCCAAGGGAGGGGTGAGAGTGAGGCCACCTCCCTTTTCTCCAGCATTCTAGGGAGGGGCAGCAGCAGGCCTGGACCCAGCATCCGGGTGGCCTGACTTGACTTGTCCTCTTCTTTCCCCCACTCCCACATGATGGCTGTCTGACTCCTGCTCTGAAATGTTTGCTCCGGTCAGAAATGGGAGGAAAAAACAAACTGTCTCTTTTAGGAGTTTCCTAGTTTGGAGAAAAGAATTAGTGAATTATGAATCTTTTTCTTCTATTGAAAGGATCGATCGGATGTTCTATGGCTGCTGCATACTGCATGCATTTGTGGAGCACCTGCTGTAAACCAGGCCCTTGAACTGCTCAGAGTTCCATGGAGGAGTCAGACACATAAACAGATAATTACAGTTCTGAATAGT